AATCAATTCCTTGCTTTCTCTTTCTACTGCTGCATTATTGGTGTATAGAAATACAACAGACTTCTATACGTTGATTTTGTATCCTGTGACTTTACTGAATTCATGTATGAGTTCTAGCAAATTTTTAGTAGAATCTTTTGAGTTTTCTACATATCATCTGCAAATAGTGAAAGTTTGACTTTTTCCTTGCCTATTTGGGTGCCTTTTCTTTCTTTTTGTTGTCTGATTGCTAGGATGCCTTCTATTTCTTTTTGTTGTCTGATTGCTAAGGCTAGGACTTCCAGTAATGGTAATGGTGAGAGTGGACATCCCTATCTAGTTCCTGACTGTAGAGGAAAAGCTCTCAGTTTTTCCTGGTTAAGGATGATATTAGCTGTGGGTCTTTTGTATATGGCCTTTATGATGTTGAGGTATGTTCCCCTCTGTCCCTACTTTGTTGAGGGTTTTTATTAAGATTGGATGTTATACTTTGTCAAATGCTTTTTCTGCATCTATTGAGAGGATCATATGGTTCTTATCCTTTCTTTTATAATGTGGTGTATCACATTGATTGATTTGCCAATATTGAACCACCTTTGCAACCCAGAAATAAATCCCACTTTATCATGGTGAATGATTCTTTTAATGAACTGTTGGATGCAATTTGCTAGATTTTGTTGAGAATATTTTAATCCATGTTCATCAGGGATTTTTGGCCTGTAGTTCTTTTTTAGTGTGGTCTTCATCTGGTCTTGGAATCGAAGTAATACTCTCCTCACAGAATGAGTTTAGAAGTGTACTTCCATTTCTACTTTTTGGAACAGTTTGAGAATAATAGCTATTAATTCTTCCTTAAATGTTTGGTAGAATTCCCTTGGGAAGCCTCTGGCCCTGGACTTTGTTGGGAGATTTTTTTATTGCTGATTCAATTTCTTTGCTGGTTATTGTTCTGTTCAAGTTTTCTATTTTTTCCTATATTTGGTAGTTTATATGTTTCTAGGAATTTATTCATTTCTTTCAGATTGCCCAATTTGTTGGCAGATAATTTTTCATAATATTCTCTTATAATTGTTTGTATTTCTGTGGTGTTGGCTGTGATCTCTCCTCTCTGGGAAATAATTCTTTAAGCTGCTTCAGACATTTGTGCTTCAGGGAGAAAGTTCTCTGAGCCTTTGCGAAAAGGAGATATTAATGGGGGTGAGGGTGTTCTATGTCTCTGAAGTAGAAGAAAGGGCAGCAGAGAAAGGAGCAGAGTTAGGAAGATGCAGGCACCAAAAATAAGCTTAAATTGGACTGAAATAAAAGGAAGACTTAATCTGAGACCAAAAGCAACATGCCTGAGGGTACGTTGAATTGGTAAATAGATGGATTATCACATTATGTTCTCCCAGATGTTTCACACACAGATATTATCAGTGAAAGTCACCAACACTAAGACCTCAAAGGCAGCACTACTTGATTTTATATACATATCAATGCTGTATCTCTGGCACTTAAATGTGTTTTGAATTAATTAACAGTTTTATTGCATTGGGGAGAGATGGAAGGTCAAAATAACACCCCGAAAAAGAGTGTGGAGTAAGTAGATGAGAAAAATAGCAAGGGCAACTGGTTCACTTAGACTGGACACACAACTCTTAAGATTTGGGAAAGTCTCAAGATATTCAAATGTTGTTTCCTTCTTGCATTGTGTGTAGACCCTTGAGTAGACATGAAGATCCAAAGACTGCATGATTGTTGGTATTGGAAAAGGCATTACAACCCTCTGGTCCTTGCTTGGCAGGTAAAAGATAACATTCACAAAAGTGGGTTCTCCCGGTGAGGCTATTCACTTGCTATCCAGGTGTGCTGACCCCTGTTACTTTCCCAGGTGTGGAAAATTCGATGACACATTTGAGGTGGAGGGGACGGCACCCGCTCCTGGCTTTATGGGTTCTGGTGAGGTGGCTGCTGGTAAATAACCTGAGCTTCTATTGGTCTGGAATTCTCTTTGCCTCTTAAAACAAAAAGTTAAGAAAAATCCAGACATATAAAAATGGGGAGTGAGTGGGGGATAAAGCGTAGGAGTAAGAGTCTCCAAACTGGTCTTCTCTCACCTTGTTCCTTCCCCTAACCCCTTTTCGCAGCAGGCAGGCAGAGTTTCTTTAGAAAGTCAGATGATGTCAGCTTCTGCCCTAAAGCCTCCAATTGCTCCCCATTCCTCCTGAGGTAAAAATCAACATATTATAATTGCTTGTGACAGATGTTATCTAACTTTTTACCCTCACTTAATACTCTAAAATAATTTTTAAACTATGTACCCATTTGCATGCTTTTCAGTTAATATCTAAAGTTTTTCATCATAAGTTTAAATAATTAGATAAGATGCAACTTTTGGTGAGTTGTAAATATCGATAATGAAAATAAAACAAAAATTAGAGCATTCGTATGCATCCAGTAGAATCTGCCATAGCTACTCAATAGTTACCATCAAATACTCCATAGTACATGCTTTCATGTACTCTTCTCAACAGTAAGAAATGCCACAGAGATCCTTTTTCTTCGTACAACCACATTTCCACTTCACTTCCCACTTCACAGCTTTATCTTAATGTAATTTATTTTATGCTTGAAAGTCTGTTAGTGGTTACTCTTACATACTTCTCAGTAACAAAAATATGTATATAAATTTAAATTACAGATTTTATTTATTTCCTGTTACTATAGGCTTTATGTGTACAAAGAAATTTCTTCTGGATTCAGTTGCATTTATAATTACTTTTAATATATAATTGATTAAAACAAATAGATAAATTCAACAAAAAATTTAAGTAAATTTCTATTGACAGATATAAGATCAAATACAGGTTTTGTGGGTACGAACATTTATAAATACAAATTTAGGAAAAAGACTTTGGAAGAGACCAGTTTAAATGAAGGGCCTGTACCTTAACTTTCATTAGCTTCAGCCTCTGGATTCATGGAGTTGCTCTGATGTTGTTCCTCATATTAGTTCATGTACCATTACTTATTATCCATATTATGTGTTGCCAAAATGAGACAGGATTTAGCGTCAGTTTTATCCCTATTTTTTTACTTAGTTTCCCTTAAATGCTGAGAAAACTTAAATGTAAATAAGTAGATGGAAACAGATGGGAGTTTTGTTATAGCAGTATCTTTTTTTTATTATGTTAATCACCATACATTACATAATTAGTTTTTGATGTAGTGTTCCATGATTCATTGTTTGCATATAATACCCAGTTATAGTAATATCTTTATTCTTTAAGTAGATTTGGCATTATATGCTAACAATAACATCATGATCTGTCATTATTTTTAATGATTTGTCAGCTGTCAACTCCATTAGGACTTCTTCTAATGTGTTTTTGGGGCAGGGGTTGTGTGTGTGTGTGTGTGTTTTATTAACATATAATGTATTATTTGTTTCAGGGGTACAGGTCTGTGGTTCATCAGTCTTACACAATTCACAGCACTCACCATATACCTCCCCAATGTCCATCACCCAGCCACTCCATCCCTCCCACCCCCTTCCCCTCTAGTAACCCTCAGTTTGTTCCTGAGATTAAGAGTCTCTTATGGTTTGTCTCCCTCTCTGGTTTCATCTTGTTTCATTTTTCCCTCCCTTCCCCTATGATCCTCTGTCTTGTTTCTCAAATTCTTCATATCAGTGAGATCATATGATACTTGTTTTTCTCTGATTGACTTATTTCACTTAGCTACCATCTAGTTCCATCCACATCGTTGCAAATGGCAAGATCTCATTTTTTGATAGCTGCATAATATTCCATTGTATATATACACCACATCTTCTTTATCCATTCATCTGTCTATGGACATCTAGGCTCTTTCTGTAGTTTAGCTATTGTGGACATTGCTGCTATAAACATTGGAGTGCAAGTGCCCCTTTGGATCACTACATTTGTGTCTTTGTGGTAAATACCCAGTAGTGCAATTGCTGGGTCGTAGGTTAGCTCTATTTTCAACTTTTTGAGGAACCTCCATACTGTTTTCCAGAGTGGCTGCACCAGCTTGCATTCCCACCAACAGTGTAGGAGGGTTCCCCTTTCTCCGCATCTTCACCAACATCTGTCGTTTCCTGACTTGTTAATTTTAGCCATTCTGACTGGTGTGAGGTGGTATGTCATTGAGGTTTTGATTTATATTTCCCTGACGCCAAGTGATGTTGAGCACTTTTTCATGTGTCTGTTGGCCATTCTTCTAATGTGTTGAAAGCAAAGAATCAGAAACCACCCTGCTGCAAAAACAAGTGTTACCCCTCAACTGAGTTCACTTGGTTTCTTAACCTCAACAATACTATTTGACATGGTCCCTTTGTGTGGCAACCTAGAGGCATGTGCTGCAGTAAGATTAGGGAGGGATGAATGGGGGAAGGATGCAGACCAAAGGGAACGGGGAAAAGGAAACGTGTGTCCTCAGGTGGACGGATTTTAGGAAAGCATGATAGGAAAAATGAGACCTAGATATTGATTCTCTTTAAATTGTCTGGGTGTCTCTTTATCCCATGAAAAGTCTTTAAATAAAGCCGGGTACCTATGCCCCAGTTTGAAGATTATTGGTTCACAAGGCCCTACACGGTCTCTGTTCCCCTCACCACATCTTTCTGTCTTCATCCTCTTTTACTGTTATCCTTGCCCTGGTCACACTGACAGAGCTCTTTGCTGTTCCATCAATGTTCAGAGCATTCTCCAGCCTTGAGGCCTTTTCCATACTGCTCAAAAGTCACCCTATAGTGAAGCCTTCCTCAACTGCCCTATTTTAAACTACAGCCTCTCTCTCTCTCATATTTCCTAATCCTTCTTCTTTTATTTTTCTCTGTAACACATAGAGGGGTTCAATATGTATTTGTTAAATGAATTAATTTCTGTGCACTATAAATGAATGTGTCCACATAAGCCATAAAAGAGCACTCCATGTTCTAAGATTATGCTTGGGCGGGGAAACAGGAATCATCTTAGGATGTGGCCATTTTCTGCTCCTAACTGTGCTCTGTATTGCAGTGTGTCAGGAAGCAGTATGGGAAGCATATCGGATCTTTCTGGATCGCATCCCTGACCCAAGGGAATACCAGGACTGGGTCAACCTCTGCCAGCAGGAGACTTTCTGCCTCTTTGACATTGGAAGAAATTTCAGCAATTCCCAGGAGCACCTGGATCTTCTTCAGCAGGTGAGCCTAAACGCTGTATATTGGAACACCGTCCAAATAGCTCCCAGGCCTCCAGCCCCTGCCCCTTTTCAGTTGGTTTCCACTGCATAAGAGTTAGTTGAAGAAATGCTTAGAGATATCTGATAAGGCCAACAAGAATTTTATTTTTGCAAAATAGCATTGTACAGGCTGGTTGAAGTGAAGTTAAAGGGAAAAGGGGATGAAAATAGACTTTAGCTCTTCAGTTGACATTTTCTCCTGATAAAATTACTTTTTATCTTTCTGCAGAGAATAAAACTGAGACACTTCCCTGAGAGGTAAGTACCCAAAATAGAGTGCAGCATGCTTTTGACTTTTGAAAGATCATATAATGGAGTGAGACTGAGCTATTGTACCTTTATGATATTATGTCAGCACTGAGATCTGTGTAGGTTATTCTGACAGACAAATTATGCATATACTGCGCTAAAGATAAATGAGTATGTAAAGGGGAAATGGATAGACCCTAAAGACTGAGATAGATGTTGGCACTATGTTTGCAGATAAAATGGATTCATTACTATGTGTTAAGTATCTAATGTGTATTTTCAGTTATAAGATATAGAACAATTTTTTTAAATAGTTTGATTTTTAGAATTTATGGTAAACTGTTAGTTACATCAGGAAAATACTAATACAATCAGAGAGCAACCTGCATTTTGAACTCTCATTTGGTATTCTGTAAAGCATTAGTATTTCTCAAACTAAATTACCGAAGCACTGAGCTATACTCTCAACAAGAACTGAATATCAAACAAGAAAATCAAAATGAGAAAAAGGCAAGGAAAAGTAATTAGATAAAATGATTAAAGAAGAGAGGCAAACTGTAAACACAAATTACATACATTTTATAACATTTAGAAATCTAATTCTGAAGATAATACTAAGAGAGACACAAATTTGGTATTGTATGAATTACTGACAATTCTTTATAATGCTTTTCACATTTGTTCCTTCATTTCTATTCCCTTTGCCAACAACTTCTTCCAAGACCTTACTAATTTACACTGTGAAGAATGTCAAATCTGATCTTCCTAATGGATTTCCCTGCCTCTAACCTCTTCCCCTCCTTAACTTGCATAACTGCTGCTGGATTAGTAAGTCTGAAAAATTTCTTACATTGAGCCCTGTTCAATGACTTTCAAAAGAGTCCTACATCTTCCTCTTACCCTTCTGAATATCCTCTGCCCACTGTTCCCCTCATGTTCTGTGTACAGAAGGCTGATTGGTAAGGACAGAGTCACGTGCATCCTTTGCCCTGACTCCTAGGTAGGGCCAGCCAGCGGGGAGCAGGAGATCAGAGGGAGAGGAGAGAATGAGGTGAGTGAATTTCTCACCTCCCCTCACCCTCAACTTGCAAAGTCTTCAAATGCTGTTGTCCTCCTTCAACTTCATCTCAGCTCCTGTCAAGCAGCCTTTCCACAGATCCTTTTCTGTCTCTGGTTCATGGTAGCTGGACTAAGGGTAGTTTGAGCACCCCACTGTTACCAGCCCTGGGGTACGGCACTTGACCTTGTGGTTGCTCTTATACTCTTCCCACAACTTAGTAAGTAATTCCTTTTTTAAACTTTGCTCAAATTACCCCACAATGAGTGAGCCATCTGTGTCCTGCCAGGACCTTCACTGAGGCAGAGCAGAGGCCAAACTCATCAATTAAGACCTTTCACCCCCTGACCTTTCCAACTTTGCATCCATTACCCATGATCCCACTGTTGCCACCATCCATTCCTCACTGCACACAGACCACACCTTCCTCATCCTGGACTCTGACCCCTAGCCTTTCCCTCTTGCCCAGAAAAACCTGCCTTTTCTACGTTACCTATCCAAACCCTACTCTACTTCACACTCCTAGTGGAGTCCCACCTGGATCCCATGATGTCTTAACAGCCTATTTGAGCCTGCAGCAATCTTCCTGCTTTGAACTTTGTACTCTTTTTGGCACTTACATTTTTATGTAACACTTCCTCACTTTACCCTATTTTCCTGTAAGAGTTTAAACTCCTCAAGGGCGGGAACCCTTTCATATCTCTCCACCCACCACCACAGACCTGAGCAAAATCCTCATATATTTTTGTTAATTGATATATCTACCAAACCACTCTTTAGAAATTTTAAAAAGTTGTTACGAGAAGAAATAATGTGATCGAGGAAAATCTTAGTACTAGAGTATTAACTTTGTTCACAAGACACAGAGATATTCACTCTTCTGATTTAACTATAGGATGATACTTATTTCTCCATTTTCAAAAAAAGAAAAAGAAAGCAAAGCAGAGGCCATCCATCCATAAGAAAAAATCCAACAGAATGTACCAAGACTTGATAGAAAAATATTAAAAATTACAGGAAACAGCTAACCCAAGACAGAAAGAGAAAGAAATAGAGCCATCCCATCCACTCCTGTGTCTACCAACATTGCTAGAAAGAATTGCTAAGGAGCAAGAGACAAACATTTTACATTAACTATGATTACCAAGTTGGGAAGGAAGGAAGGTGGGAAGGAAGGAAGGCAGGCCTGGTATTTCAAACCTTTCTAGGAAGACAAAACAGAAAATTTTCTCACCTGAGTAGCCCATAAATCTGCCAGTTTCAAATGACTTTAAAATAAAAACCAGTGAAAGAACCCAGTGTCCCAGCTTCCCAAATTATAGCTTCCAAGTGATGGTCTAGATTGCCACTGTCATGGCAGAATCACACCCAGTGGCAAAGGATGAGGAAATAGCATCTGACAAAGGATCCTGCACGAAGTGGGCTGTTGACTTGTAACTAATGCCATAGCCAGCACTTTAATAACTATTCCTCTTGGTTGTTTTCTTTTTTACAGCAAGGTAAAACAAGGATACCTAAGTTATAATAGGAGGAAAGAGATCGTACCACGAACAAAGTTCTAAAAAGTAAAAGAAAAAAGGAAAATTGTCTAAATCACAAATGCTCTAATGTTTGATATGAGATCTTTATAAATATGATATCCATAAAAACTATTTCTTAAGTATATAGCATAATACCAGTAGAAACAAACAAGAATACCTAATTCTGAAACAGTCTGAATTTATATTTAGCCTGTGTGCACCAATATAGTCCTCCATGTTTACATCTATTCTGATTGGTCAGAGCCCATGCCAGGCCAATGGATATTTTGTATATTACCTCTATTAGGACTTTGGGAAAATTGCATGTGTTAGAAATATGTGTATAGATGGTCCCATTGTCTATAGCCAATCTAGTTGACCTTACAACACAGAGCACCTAGCCATTCCCTTTGGTCTTCCCATCATCGTGAATCACAGAAAACTGGATCAAATATATTGGTCAATTATGACTAAATTGTACTAATACAGACACAAGCTAATAAGACCTAATAGCTTATAGTAACAAATCTTTCAGTGAGCTTCAAAAGATATCACTATTGCTACTCCTTTCTATATAAAGCTTGCTAGAATGGGCCAATGTTATAACAGACAGCTATACAACCATGCCCTTGGATTTGCCCTTAGATATCTTCCAGACTGCCACTGCAAACCCACCCATAACTCCTGCAGACAATGGTTTTGTCCAGAATGGGGATTCAATACACCTGCATTATCCAGAAATCTCCCTCTCTCCTATTACTATAACCACAAGAGTTACTTTAGTAAATAAACTTAAGGACTTTCTGGATTTGCACGTTTGAGGATCTGAGATTTTAGCAAGAACATTCAGTCATAGATCATGTCATGCAATTATCTTTGATGTCAAGGACACAGTGCAAACACAATGGGACTATAAAACATCAAGCCCCAAAGACCAGTTTTGCTTATGGTGAAAATGCTCCCAAGGACCACATGAAAGATGCTTACGGAAAACCCTAGAGTCAAACATAACCATTTGCAGGAGTTGTTTGAATTTTTCTTCAATGAAAATACATTTGAAGGTTACTTCTATAATGAAAGAAATAGGCAAACCCAGTTTTAAAGGGTTTTTCTCTAATTTTTAGGTCTATTGAGTATAGGAAAAGTAAGTGCATTTCCCCTATTGTTATCAAGCTCCTTTTAACCACCTCTTCTTTCTTTTCTGCTGTGGTGATAGAAAAGATGAAATATCTACAGCAGAGACATTCGGAGAGCCTGGGGAGACCCCTGTGTTTTCTACAGGTAAGCTTAGATCTCCTCATTCACCTGCTCCTGAACCTTAATTCAAATGATCATGAAAGTATATTATTTAAAAAGCAATCCTTAATTGAAGTTGACAAAATTTATAATATACTTTCTCAAAGCTAACTGATATTTTTAACTTTATAAAATAATTTAAATGCATTGTATAAAACTTGAAAATCTAGAAAAGAATAAAGGTAAAGCCAAATCACCCATTATCCTTCAACTTGGAGACAATCATTACCAATATTTTCAAACAAATAAATTGAAGATAAATATCTGCCTTGCACCCTTTATATATTCACAAATGGAAAAATTAAGCAGATCTCATTGGCAAAACCATTTAACTATAACATATTTAGGATGGCCCCAAACTAGGATAGCACCTAGAACAGAAGAATGGAGAATTCAACTAGGATCAAAAGTATGAGTTATATTTTTTTCAAGAACATATTTATGTGATCTTAAAAAAAATGAGGTAAGAAGGCACCCCACATCTGTAAATTCCAGAATGACAGAAAAAGTATATGAAATTTTGACCTTGTTCTAATGTAAACTTCTCCAATCTCATTTTTGTGCCTGTAATATTTTTAATTTCCACAGATGTTGCCAATGTCTCCGTTGGACCCTTCCCTCTCACTCTGGATGTCACGCTCTTCAGTGACACCAAGAAGCCTACAATAGTAAGAAGTTCTGAGAGTCAACTAGCTCTTCACATGCCTGGTTTTGTTTTATTAGTAACACAAGAAAAGAGAATGGGTGAATTGGCCATTTAGTATTACTAGTGCTGCATTTTTATCACTCCAATTAAGAGTCAGTGACTTTGTTCTATTCGGGATTATTCCTTCCTCTAGGGACTGAGGGAAAAATAGATTGAAAACTAGAATAAGGTGGGAGGAATTGCAAGAAGCAACTTAATTATAAACTCCAGGACTGCAGGGGCCCTTTTTCCCCAGTACCTAAGAGAACCTCATCTACAGCAAGTACTCACCAAGCACTAGAATAAATGAATGAATAAAGCCTATCAATCAATCAGTCAAGCTGCTTCTCCACTAAAGTGTATTCTCGTGCTGACAGTAAGGGTAAAAGTTTTGCTTTCAGGCATGGGCAGCATGAATAGGTCAGACAAATATCAAAATGATTGAAATCCTGCATGTCAAATGGGGAAAAATAAAATCGGTGTTCTCAGGCAAAGAGGAACACTGGCTACACTGCTCTCTTTGTGTGAAAAGGCATGAAGGAGAGGAGAATATGTTACAGCATTTAATGTCGGCTATCAAAAAAGGGGAACATTTTAACCGTTCCAAAATCTTTGAGCCAGACATTTGATGCTGAAGCAGGGAAACTGTCCTCTTTACTCAGGAGTGACAGGGCTGGGGCAGCATGAGGTGGGCAGCAAGTTCAGAAGGGAGCAGGAGTACGGGGGTGACACATCTGAGCCCAGATCTTCTCATCCTTACGCTGCCACTGCAACCAGACCTAACTTCCCTGTGGTCTGTGAGACTTCACTAGCCTTTCCTCTCCTGGGAACCTAGCCGCAAGGCACGGGTCAAAGCCCAGGCAGTGAGGACGAGAAGGCCAAGAAGTTCAGTCTCACCAGCTCTACATGAAAATTCAGGGGTGAGAAACCCGCTGGCCATTCTATCTGGCCTGTAGGCCAGATGGCTATGGATTTGCTGGAACTATTGCTATGAACAAAGAATTCAAATTTCCATTTTTCTCAAAAATACTATTCCATGAACAGTGAAAAGTGCTGTTGGAAAAAATTATTGAGATTAAATGTATTTACTATAAAATTTCAAAGATAATTCTAGTTTGCCTTCTCTTTTCCCACATTACTTGTGTCCCATATTCTTCAAAATCTAATATAGGTCCCCCCTTCTGCAGTAAATATCCCCTGAACATTTCATTTCATATTCACATCCTCCTCTTATCCTTTTTCCACCTGCATCTTTCACTTATTCTTTCATTCACCAACATTTTACTAAAATCCTCTCATATGCCAGACATTGGGGTATGTGCCAAAGATCCTAAGATCAATAAGACACGGTTCCTGCCTTCAAGAAATTTATAATGCAAAATAAGTACAAAATAATCTAAATGCTATACTTGAAGATGGCAGATGTATAGAACGGAACAAAATGATAGACCAGAACAGGTTGCAAAGCATGTAACCCCCAGTCATGTATATTCATAGAGAGTTTTGTGCATAAGTGGCCCCTTTTTTTTTTAACTTTGGGAGGTTTAATGAAGTGTGAGAATCATACTGGATTCAGGAGATTATATGCGGGGTGACAAGATTAGCATATAAAAAGACTGTAGGTGAGTATGGCATAGGTATTAAATGAGAAATTCAAATATTATTCATTGCTCCAGGAGTTTAGAGAAGGCAAATATTTCTGCCCTAATTGATCAGAGAAAATATTATTTTAAATGAACCATAAAATATTAGTAAGAAGTAAAAAAAGTATGTATATGTGTGTTCCCATGTTTTAGTGCTGGAGGTGAGCATGGGGAGCAGTGAGGAGGGCCTCCAGTCAGGAAATTAGCACAAGCGATGTGATATCTCATCAACAGTGAACAAGCTATCTGGTAGTCAGTGCAGGGAGAAATGACACGGACTACAATTGTTCAAGCAACAACAATTCCATTTATAATTGCACAAAAAAAAAATAAGATATCTAGGAATAAACCTAACCAAAGAGGTGAAAAACCTGTACTCTGAAAACTATAAAACACTGATGAAAGAAACTGAAGATGATACAAAGAAATAGAAAGGCATTCCTTGCTCATGGATTGGAAGAATAAATATTGTTAAAATGTCTATACTACCCAAAGCAATTTACACATTTAATGCAATCCCTATCAAAATACTGATAGGATTTTTCACAGAGCTAGAACAAAGAATCTTAAAAATAGTATGCAAACACAAAAGACCCCAAATAGCCAAAGCTATCTTGAAAAAGAAGAGCAAAGCTGGAGGCATCACAATTCTGGACTTCAAGTTATATTACAAAGCTGTAGTAATCAAAACAGTATGGTACTGGCACAAAAAATAGACCTATAGATCAATAAAACCGAATTGAAAACCCAAAAATAAACCCACAACTATATGGTCAACGAATCTTCAACAAAGCAGGAGAGAATATCCAATGGGAAAATGACAGTCTCTTCAACAAACAGCATTGGGAAAACTGGACAGCAACATGCAAAAGAAAGAAATTGGACCACTTTATTATACCATACACAAAAATAAATTCAAAATGTATTAAAGACCTAAATGTGAGACAGGAAACCATAAAAATCCTAGAAGGGAATACAGGCAGTAACCTCTTTGACATCAGCCATAGCAACTTATTTCTAGATATATCTCCTGAGGCAAGGGAAATAAAAGCAAAAATAAACTATTGGGACTACATCAAAATAAAAAGCTTCTACATAGTGGAAAAAACAATCAATAAAACTAAAAGGCAGCCTACGGAATGGGAGAAGATATTTGTCAATAGCATATCTGATAAAAGGTTAGTATCCAGAATATATAAAGAACTTGTAAAACTCAACACCCAAGAAACAAATAATCCAATTTAAAAAAGGGCAGAAGACATGAACAGACATTTTTCCAAAGACATACAGATGGCCAACAGACATCTGAAAAGATGCTCATCATCACTCATCATCAGGGAAATGCAAATCAAAGCTACAATGAGATATCACCTCACACCTGTCAGAACGGGTAAAATCAACAGCACAAGAAATAATAGGTGTTGGCAAGGACGTGAAGAAAAAGGAACCCTCTTGCACTATTGGTGGGAATGCAAACTGATGGACTCTGGAGAACAATATGGAGGTTCCGCAAAAAGTTAAAAATAGAATTACTCTCCAATCCAGTAATTGCACTATTAGGTATTTATCCAAACAATACAAAAACACTAATTCAAATGAATACATGCACCCCTATGTTTTAGCAGCATTATTTACAATAGCCAAATTATGGAAACAGCCCAAATATCTATCAGCTGATGAATGGGTAGAGAAGATGTGGTGTATATGTATGCAATGGAATATTACTCAGCCATCAAAAAGAATGAAATCTTGCCATTTGCAAGGATGTGGGTGGAGCTAGAGAGCATAATGCTAAGCTAAATAAGTCAGTCAGAGAAAGACAAATACCATATGATTTCACTCACATGTGGAATTTAAAAAATGAAACAGATGAACATGGCGGTAGGGGAAGAGAGAGAAAGAGAGAGAAACCAAGAAACAGACTCTGAACTATAGAGAACAAACTGATGGTTACCAGAGGGGAGGTGGGTTGGGGGATGGGTGAAATAGGTGATGGGGATTAAGGAGTGAACTTGTCATGATGAGCACAGGGGGATGTATGGTAGTGTTGAATCACTATATTGTACCCCTGAAACTAATATAACGGTATAATTTAACTAACTGGAATTAAAATAAAAACTTTTAAAAAATAGGATATACTACCTGGGCCTACTCAGTAGTTTAATAAAACAAAAACACAAATTTTAATGGAAAAAATGTATAAAAAATAAATAAAATTGTTCAAGCAGATTGGGATCAGACTGGAGAGAGCCTTCACGTCAGGAAAAAAGTTTGGATTTTTATTCCATAGGTAATAGAGTATTACTGAGGATGATGGGTGAGAAGCATGGAAAAGTAATCCAGTGACTAAGGATAAATTAGAAGACTTCTCACTAATACATCTAAAGAATTTATTTAAATGTCTCATGTGAACTTTAAATATGCCTAGTGAAATGGTAAGCTTCTGGAGGGTAATACCATGTGCCATATTTTTCTTTTAACTTCCCATATGTCCTAGCACTGTTCTACACCCATATAAATGCTTAATGTCTGTTACTTCAATGAATGAATGAATGAAATCTTTTTGTTAAACGAACATCAGTAGTCTGGCAAGTGTGAATCTACATCCTCTGTGTGCCCTATTAAGGTTAGAGGCTATGCTGCTGTCCCATGGAAGAGAGGACCTTGTGATAAGAAATGATGAGAAACTACATTGACTACCACCCACATGAGATTTGTCCCTCATGTCATTTTCCATTGGTTGGTCTCTTTCAGCCTCCACAGCTCTAATTTCACTAATAAGAGAATATGTACATTACCAAAGACATTCCGTTTTCTACAGACATGTTTTTTACTCTTTCAAGAAAGCTGTTCAGATTTCATGATCATCTGGCTACCCAATATTGAAAATCTGTCAAACCCCAAGTTTGAAACCCAGCTCTAGGCTTGCTCTGTACTCTGGGAGCTCAGGTGAATTCAGAACAGTAAGACTCCTGCCTATTCCCAGTCCAGACGGCAAGAAGGATGACCCCTGGCCCCCTTGTGATCAGAGGCCAAATCCAGCTCCTCAGAGGAGTGCTTCTCTTCTAAGTCACATGCTACCAAAGGTGGCCCAAATACACCATTCCTTCTGAGAGATATTTCAAACCCTCTCTTGACCTGACAGTGCTTACTAACTAGTTTCAATGTGAAGTTTAGGCACAAATTGTCTCATTAAACAAGTCTAGACTCTTCTCTAAAAAAGATTGTATTAATATCTCAGCATCCTTAGGTTATTTTGGGTAATCTGATCCTCATCAAAGAGTATTCATAAAGTTACACAAGAATGTGGCATGATCCCAGTGATTCTCTGCCAGTGTATATGAATTATGGGTGTGTCTATATGTGTAAATGCTTTCATGAAGAGCACATAGTCATAAAATTGCAGTGTTCTCAAAGATTCTAAACAGTTAACTTTTTGGAGTTTTGGCACTTTGTCTCTCAATGAAATTCAGAGGACACTTCTAGTTAATAGGATTTCAATTCTAAAAGCACTTGAGCCTTCACAATACACTTCTTGAGACAATATCAATATATATTATTTAATATTACCCTATGCTTATGCTTTACGTTAATAGAAGACTTTTGTTTTTTAATTTAGGAAAAAAAAGTTGAATCCACTAAGGTATCCAAGGGCCCACTGGAGCAGAAGGTGGAGCTGAGCATCACTCTGGCAAATCAGAGGTTCAAGGCAGAACTCACTGACTCCCAGTCCCAGTATTATCAGGAGCTGGCAGCAAAGTCTCAACTCCAGGTAAGTGAACCCACCCCACACAACCACAGCCCAAGTCATGAATCAGAATCTGAGAGCCAGCAGGACCTAAACCATTTGAGCTAATAGTTCCAACTTCTTGTAACTAGGCCTTAATTTTTAACCATTAGAAAGAAATCAAAGGGGTGCCTGGGTGGCTCAGTTCCTTAAGCAACTGCCTTCGGCTCAGGTCATGATCCTGGAGTCCCAGGATCGAGTCCCGCATCGGGCTCCTTGCTCAGCAGGGAGTCTGCTTCTCCCTCTGACCCTCCTCCCTCTCATACTCTCTCTCTATCATTCTCTCTCTCTCTCAATAAATAAATAAAATAAAATAAAGAAAGAAATCAAAAACTGCAATAGGTCCCAAAATGTTAGGGCAAATGGATCTCTAGGAAAGTTTCTATTCTAGCTTCTCTATCTTAAAAGTCACTTACATTTAGGTTTTCTTTAAATATTAGTAGGTTTTTAAATCTCCTTTAACTGAAAGTCACTAAGCACATATTCTAAAGCTCTAAAATGTTCATGTAAGCACCAACTACGGAATATGCTGGGTTGAAATACGAATTTTTAACCCATATTTGTCTTATATAATATTTCCACTTTTGCAGTTTAATGCAATTTCAAGCCCTGACATTTTTCATGGGTGAAAGTGAAGGGCAGTTATGTTGTCCATGCCATCCAGTAAACTCAGGAGCTATCCCAAGATATCTCTTCCATCTCTGACCATCATCAGCTCTGCCCACCTCTTCACTTGCCACAGGAGGAATCCAAAGCTCTGTGCTGACCGTGGCTTCTATACACCATGATAAGAGTCCTGCCTTTCTTTCCAGCCTCATCTTAACACTAGCTCCTACCCATCCCCCTCCTTTGCACACTACAGGACATACAAACTGCTTGCAAATCTCTTCTCACCTTTAGCCTTTCCATATGCTGCCCCCTCTGTCTTCAGTGTCCTTTCCCTGGGTTTCATTTTACAAACTTCATCAAGGAAATTTCTCTCCAGCCATCCTGAGTTCAGTACCTCTCCTCTGAGCTAACACACAGTACCCACTGCTGTCACAGCAGTTATCACCCTGTCTTGAGATTGTTTGTTTACACGTCAATGGCCTTTCTTGTCTCCCTTTCTCCCTCTTCATCTCTTCACCCTCACTGCCTTCAGGCTCTGGGTGTCCCCTTGAGGGCAGGAACAGTTTCTTTATTTCTGAGGACTTACCTGCTAATAAGGAGTTGGGATGCACTTAACTATTCAGTAATTGTAGAAATGCAACTGAAAAATAGATGCATTCATAAGATAACATAACCATGACCTACATTTATGGATAACCCAAGCATCTCACACAGCATGGCCAGGGAACCCACAGGCCCCTATTTCTCATATGTGGAGAATTCAAGGCTTACTTCCTCTCAACTGGAGAGAAGATGAATAAGCAAGAATTTTAAACCTCCAACCACTCCCTGCATCACCATTCAGTCAATAAAATGTAAAGAATCATTTCTACAAACTTCAAAGAGAAAGCATCAGCATGGGCTGTTTATGAACCAGAGAAGTACTTAGACATGGATTATTAGATAGAATGAATTAAAGAATAGTCCTTTAACTTCCTATTTGTTCTTTGAAATATTCTTTTCAGAAAGTTCTTAGTATAGTCAGAGTATCTTCAAAATTGGAGAGTTGGCCAAGATTCAAACCCAAGCAGCCTGGCACCAGAACCCCTGTTCTTAACTGTTATGCTATACTTCCTACTTTTTCCCAAACAAATATCTAGGAGGCGGGGATTTTTGTACCGTCATCAAATAAACATGTCCATTCTAGACTCTGAAAACCTCATTAGCCAAAAGATGATGTCTTGCTCGGTCTGTTCCGGAGACCCATCACATCAGTCCTGCTGGTTCCTCCGCATGGGTGCTGGCTTCTCTGAAATGGAGCCCCTCTGCTTAGAGCATCTGTTCCCTTTCCAGGCTCCTGAGCAATCCAGACCACCTAGCAGCCTGCCAACACATAACTAAGCGGCTCCACCACAGCCCATACGAGCATCAGCACAGCCATTCAGGCCTCATCAGGAATTAACGGACAGGGCTTTGCAGTAATTTAATTTCCACAATAAACCTAATGAGCAATTTAATACAAATGTCAAAAGGAATGCTTAGTTGTTGTCTGAATGCTTTCTCCTGTGCAAACATTGAAGAGAACTCAACACGGCTGCCTTTTTGTAGCCCCGTTAACATACGTTCCAGCAGAATCAAGGAGGCCCCTGTGCAGTTAGTATTATTAATAAGGTTAACTGGGCACTTAATTAGCAATTTAGTGGTTAGCACTCCATGATTGGAAGGTCCCCAGAAGATTATTTAGCAGAATTAACTGGAGGCCTTTGTCATCTCCTCCCCAGATGTCTTCTGCACCCTCCTAAGCAGAGCTGACTCTTAATCAATCATAGGCAGGTTCACAAAGAGGACATGGACAATAAGCAGAATTCCCCTCCACCGGAGCCAGGGCTGTGGAGCACTCCTGGAGGGCGGGACGGCTCTCCCTGGGGATGTTCCCTGCTGCCCATGCTGCAGCTGTGGGCTTCTCTGGAAGCAGTTCTGTGCTTGATTGATTGTTTTCATCCGTATAACAGCATGTCTGATACCCTGGACAAGAAAGAGGAACAAGTCAGGGTCTGAATTTTCTTCTCCAGAAACTGCTGCTCACACTTAAACGTTCAGTCCCAGGTGTTGTTACTGGAATGACATGACAAATGCCTTGTGGCCCCAAAGCCATTTGTCACAGGAGGCCAGAACAGACCTGAAGCACGTACATAGCTCCCTCCTACCTGCCCCCGTAATAAAGACCAGATCCACATCACCTAAACTCCTAGCTCTCCTCTGTTAAACCTGTGGTGGGGATGGTAGTGGAGGCACAGAAACATTACTCAGGCTCCCTGCCCTGGACCCCTAAGGGGACCCTCACCCTGTCCTTCCCCCCATTGAGTCTTTCAAAAACAACTGACCGTAGGCTTGCTCTGTCTGCTCTTGTCAGGCTCCATGGTATGTGGCCACTGAGGAAGTAAAAGAAAATTGGGCTATTAAGGAGCTAATAATCCAGTAGAAGAGAGAAAGACTAAGTAAATCAATAATGCAATCGCATCGACTCTTTGCCCATTGTGTGTCAGGCACTGATTAGTTATTCCTTACAGGAACCTCACAATATAGGTATTGTTATCCCTTTTTGGCTAAGGAGATCAGATGCAGAGAGACTGAGCAATAAAATCAAGGCCTTACAGCTAGAAAGTAGCAGAACCAGTATTTAAACTCAAGACTACACAGCTACCTCACCACCCAAAAGCTAGCCTACCTTCATCACTGCAGTTACTAAATACTCAGGGGATTAAAACTGTTTTTAACATTGATGAAAGAAAATATGATTTAGGAGGTAAAGCAGTCTGCTGGAAAAAGAAATCTGTGATGGATTTCAAAGCCCAGTGTAAGTGATTTAGGGATTATCTGTGCATCACTGCCCTAGTCCTTGGCATAGATAATGTAGAGTCAGCAGTAATTTTAGGTACAGTGACAATGCAGTGGCATGTCAATGAGTTTAGAGAATGAAGAGAGGCACTCAAGTCAATTAAACAAAATTTGCTGAGTCCCTACTATGTGGAAGATGACCTGCTAGGTACTGAGAGGGAGGGAGATGAAGACGAGTAAATAAGACATGGTCCCTGAGCCCAAGGAGCATAATCTCAGTGAGGGAGACATCATGCAGCTCATAGACTGTTTTATGGGACATACTGTAATAAGTTCTAGAGTACTAGGGAGAAGAAATAATTGAGCCTGACTTCAGGGCTCTACAGATGCTTTTCAATAGAGAGTGTGTTTGGGGTACCTGGGTGGCTCAGTCGGTTAAGCATCTGCCTTTGGCTCAGGTCCTGATCTCAGGGTCCTGGGATTGACCCTTGCATAAGGCTTCCTGCTCAGCAGGGAACCTGCTTCTCCCCCTGCTCATGCTGGCTGCTCTCCCTCTCCCCCACCCTTCTCTATCTCTCTCAAATAAATAAATACTATCTTTAAAAAAATAAAGAATGCATTTGAGCTGGCTTTGAAAGATGGGGGCATGGGAAGTCAAAAAGCAAAAGGTAGACATTGCATCTTGGGCTAAAGGGGAAAAAAGTCATAGAAGTCTGGTGGAAGTATATGTTGTATTTGAGGAGAAATAGGCCTTGGTTTAGTGAGACTAGAGGATCCAATATTGACCAAGGGGGTAATGATGGCAGGAAGAACAAATGATAAAGTACTTGGGGAATGGAGGCTGTAGATTGTGGAGGGTCTTAAATGCCATTCTAAAGAACTGGACCTTCTTCAAAGGGCAGTGCAGCCCGTCAAGGGATTTTTAGTAAAGAACAACAGATATGGAATGATTACCCTTGGAAATAAAAATGTGGTCAAGGAGACATCTCCTCCTTTTCCTCCTGCCCCAATATATCCCTCCCCCAAAACTTCTCCTTCAGCGATATAGGAGGGGAGATGCGAAGGGTACGCCTGCCATGGGAATAAGAACATGGTGGAAACAAAATGTATATGGGATTCAAACCACCAGGAGTTGGTGACTGGATGTGAGGGGAACAGAAGGAAGGTATTAGGGTTGCTGGGTTTTCTGGCATGGAAGACGCACAATAGGTGTTTATGAACCTGACTAGGATAGAGAGCCCAGGAGGAAAGGCAGATTTGGAAAGAAGAGAATGACTCTGGTTTGGACATATTTAATTATTGACCAAGTTGGGATATTCATGTGTAGAACTCAAAGCTAGGTCTCAGGTGATCACTGAAGCCATGGGAGAAAATGAGATCCCCCGAGGAGAGGCAGAGGAGGGTGGGCACAGGGAAGAAAGGACCAGGTCCCTGCTTACCTGTTCAGCCTCACTTTCACCCTGAGCTCCCCTCCAAGCTTCACTACTAATGAATCCCTTCCTCTCTTGCCTCCCAGCCTGCACAGGAGTGAGCTGGATGGGGCAGTGCCCATCAATGTGGCAGTGTGTCCCCAGAGCCTAGCAGGGTCCCTACAGTCAAGCTTACTGAATAAGTGGGAGAGTGAGATAAGGAGGCTGAGAATGCAAACTTCCAGAGTCTTTATATTTGAAGTAGAGAATGCAGACAAGAATAAGATGGAGTAAAGAAGACTAAGAAAGTGGTCCTTGAGATAGAAGAAGAACCAGAAGAAAAAGCAGGCACACTGTGGAAGAGGAATGGAAAATGCCAGTGGATTTGGAGAGAGCTAGGAGGCAACAGCCTGGAGAAAATCCTCCCTCCTGGGCAAAGTCAGAGGCAAAAGCCAGACTGTAGTGGGTCAGGAGTCATTGAGTATAGCAATTGTAAAATATTCTGATAATATGCCTCATTAGCAAGGTCAAACTAATTAAGAAAATTTATTGTAAAGTCCACATAAATCTACATGTGAATCTAACTTGTTAGAGTCTGCTTGTACCATTTTATTTAGTTACAGCACCATTTTAATTTTAGTAATCTCTTTAACATTATATTTTCCAAATCATCTCATTCAACTCAGAAAATATGATAGTTATTCTGTGTATAAATAAAAATACCGTAGCCAAAAAAATTTCTTCCAAGTACCACCTTAAAGTTATTTCATATTCTATTTAAAGTAACCATTAAAGTGGGTCAGAACTACCCAATTGCAGCTTTTTTTTTTTTTTAAGAGAAAGAGAAAGTGTGGGGTGGGGAGAGGCAGAGGGAGAGGGAGAAAGAGAATCTTAAGCAGGCTCCACTGAGATCATGACCTGAGCCAAAATCAAGAGTCCGATGTTTAAATAACTGAGCCATTGAGGCACCCCCAATTGCAGTTTTTAAATAAACAGCAAAACACTTTCCTCTGGATTTCAGAAAAAATAACTAAGAACAAAGAGTTTGGCCTCAATAGTTGCTTCACTTTTCCATTTTCATATTTTTCCCCAAACTCATTAAAAGTGTTTAGGCTTTTTTTCAGTTAGGCAAGATCTGACCCAGTAGAGCCAAAGAGTGTTTCATAAATTTCTTTCTTTCTACAGATGGAAAAGGTATTTAAGAAACTTCCAGGATTCAAAGAAATCCATGTGCTAGGATTTAGGTAAGTAAGAGAATCGGACTCTTCTCAAATTTTAAATTACTTCCTCCCTGTCCTTTTTTAAAAGCAGTGTCATGAGGATTATAAGGTTCTTCCCCCACCCCCACCCCCCGTCCCCGAGTTGTTTAGCCCTGCCAGATCCTGAAAACTGAATACATTTCAGATAAAGCAATTGTCTAATTAGAACATGACTCTAGGTGATTTTTTTAAGGAATAACACAAGAGCTGTATTCCTTCCTTCCTCTGGAGTCAGAAACACTGCTCTCTATAGAGAGCTCATCTGCTATCCTTGGCAGTGTTATTAATGAACCTCTTAGGAGAACACCTCAGTAGAGACAGGTCAAAAGAAGAAGCAATTAGTTACCTTGGTGTCTGATTGCCTGGTTCCCTGTTGAATGTTAAATATCATCATCATTGAAACAAATCAGGCCGACCCTAGGGAATCAGGTGAAACTAATAAAAAGTAGTACCTATGGGGATAAGGAAGTTGAAGGAATGGGGTAGAAAGGGACAGAGGCGGAAACAATACTTCCCAAAATATACATTTTATTATCATTTTGACGTCTGAGCTATAGTAATGCATTACCACGCAACAATTATTAAATTACAATTTTAAATAAAGGAAATGAAATTAAAGAATAGTGCCATGCCAAAGTGGGGTTGAGTTATGTTCCCCTGGCTTCCCCACAAGCAGGCCTATATCCATTAGCATCTCAACACTCTATAATCTGGGTGCATTCATGATTTTTGGCAAGCAGTTTTGCATCCTCTTTCTAAGTTCTCATTCAAAACATCTACAGGCAGGGTCATAATATATTTTTTTAAATGTGCCACAGGGTATATGTCAGCCCTGGTGTATCAGAACGTGACTCCCTGCCCCAAGGGGGATTTGTAAAGTGGGTAGAGAAGGCCTCCGCCAAAGTACTTCCTGGCCCCTCCACCGTCTATTGTCTCAAAGCTAGAAGGTGCCCAGAGCAAGTTTCCATACTCATGAAGAATAGCTTCTGGGCGATCTCCACCGGTTCTTTCCTTTCAAAGCTATCAGGCCTCTCTGATTTGTGTGACTCCAGAGGAAGAAAGTATTGAAAAGTGGAAGTTATAAAAGATGAAAACTTTAATATGTACCACAGCAGACTCATTTTTCTTTATTTCAAGATGCTGCTCCACAATATTCCATGTGAAATCAGATGGATTAGAGAGAAATAAAAGGTGATAGTAGAATATTCTGCATAGATGGCAAGGTCTTCTGGACAAGCCACTGCAGCTAAAGAGCAGATGTTTCATTTAAAGCTGAAGGAAATGATACGAACAGTCCTCTTGGTGAATGTTTAAATTGCTCATTAAGCCCTCCCTTCAAATAAATGAAAAACTAATAACAAAAATCTATTTCAGAAGAAAACAAAAATGTTAGGATGATGCAATTTCACAAGGTAAAAAAGGTATATCCACTGAAGCTGCATTTTCCCCATGTGTTTATCTCTGTAAGACTTTATTCTTATTTCTGCCAAATATGCTTATAAAGTAAATTTGACCATATATTCCCAATGATTTCCATTATGGAATGAATATTTAGTCTCCCAGAAAACATTTTGACCCTGAATATTATAAACAATATGCTTACGAGTGTGGCAAGCTTTTAATCATAACTAACAGTGCTCAGAATATAGTCAACTTAGTATGAAGGAAATTACTTTCTCATGGAGCCAGATCCCCTAAAACCCTATGAATCTCCTGATACTGTCTTTGTGTCAGCTCATTTGTATAAAACCTGATCTACAATTTAATAAGTATGTTTTTTATTAGTGACCTTATTTGATTCTCCCAACACAACTGGGAAGTTTTGAGGACATCTATTATTAACACAATGATAAGGACGAACAGAAAAAGATCCACTTTAAATACTGCTTTATCTCTTACAGCAAATATGGGAAACTATTAACAATCATTTAATTTGGTTGGAGGGTATACTCCTTCAAAGACTAGTTCATAAATGTCCATAGCAGCTTTATTTGGAACAGCTGAGGACTGGAAACAACCCAAATGTCCATCAACAGAGCAATAGATAACACAAATTGTGGACTATTGTTACCGTAGACTACTACTCAGCAGAGGAAGGAACTATTAGACTACACAACAATGTGGTTTCATCTCAGAATAACTATGTTGAGTGAAGGAAGCCAGAGGAGAGGGGGTATATTATTATTCCATTTATATGTAACTCTAGAACACACAAACTAATCTGTAATGACAGAAAACAGATCAGTAGTTGCTTGGGGAGGGTGAGACAGAAAGGATAGGAGGGAAGGGTTTCAAAGGGGCATGAGTAAACCTTTGGGAGGAATTGATTTGATTGTGGCAATGGTTGCACAGGTATATAGTATCAAACTTAGATCAAATTGTACACCTTCAACATGTGCAGTTTGTTTCATGACAACTATATTTCAATGCAATATGCTTTTTTTTTTAAATGAGCAGGACTAGGGTCTTGGCTCACGGAGCCCTGCCTCTCTCCAAACTACAAGCCACTGCTAAAAGAAGCAGGGGGCAGGCCCTAAATGAATGTCTAGTTGGTACAGAATTCCCTCCCACAGAGCAGCCCCAATGATAAAGTCATAGATTCTCCCCTGTTTCCAGAGAAGGAAAGTAGTAGCAGTCTATTTCAGTCATATTTTATCAAGGGATAAAAGTTAAATGAATTCAGGGGCGCCTGGGTGACTCAGTCGGTTAAGCGTCTGCCTTCGGCTCAGGTCATGATCCCAGGGTCCTGGGATCGAGCCCCAGCATCGGGCTCCCTGCTCATCAGGGGAGTCTGCTTCTCCCTCTCCCTCTTCCTCTGCCTGCCACTCTGCCTACTTGTGCTCTCTCTCTGTGTCAAATAAATAAATAAAACCTTAAAAAAAAAAAAAAGTTAAATGAAGTCATACTCCAGGCAGAAAGAGCAGCAACACAAATCCCATCACATGTGTAGAATGTCTTTGTCAACAAATATCATCTGAAATGTAAGATAGGAAAGCTGAATATAGCTTTTAAACTGAATTCATATATATGCCCAGAGGAGTCCAAAATCTATTTGTCAGTTTGATGACCAAATGGCCTCTTTTGAGGCATGGGCAGGTAGTGGCATAGAAAACGGGCCCAGGCTTGAAGTCAAGCAGGACAGGGTTTGAATCCTGGCTCTGCCACCTTCCAGCTAACAACTTCCCCTCTGTATATGTGTTCCTTTTTCTGTAAAATGGGGATTATGTTGTTGAAAAGATTAAATGAGGATGCATATAAACTGTCTGGTGCAGACCACCCACTCAGTAAACAGGTGTTTATTTTTCTTGCAACCTGTTCCGTGATGAATTGTGCTATCCCCTCAATGCTTACTGATTAAAGCAATTTGAAAAATAATCAGTCAACAAAACACCAGTTCCAGTGTCCAGTCTCAGATAAATTACTTCCAGGATTAAATTAATCATTTAATGCTACTCAGAGGGTGAGAAATTCATTTATAAAATACTTTCTTTAAAAACTTCCTGGCACCAGCACCACCTAAAATGTAAGGTGTTTATGATATATTTGCCACCTCTTTGGGAAGAATATGAAGAAATCAAAGAGTTTACAAAGAGAACCAAAAGTACATGTTGAACACTACATTTGAGACAAATGATGTACTATATGTTGGCTAATTGAATTTAAATTAAAAAAATAAAAATAAAAAGTATATACAATCTTTGAACAAAGATTGAATCCTAATCAGAAACATCATATAATTCTGTTTACTTCCTGAGATTCATATGGCTCTCAAAATTCCCATCCAAATTCTGATGGCAGTTTATGTATTTCCTTCAAAGTTCTGGGCAAACATGGAAGACAATGGAAAGAAATCTCTCTCTCTCTCTCTCTCTCTTTCTCTCTCTCTCTGTGTCTCTCTCTGGTATATGAAATGATTCAGTAAATGTCTTAATAAATCTCCTAAAAATTCTTTCTCCCTTGCATGTTCCCATTGCATATGGTGAAATGAAGACCAAAGAAAGGAAGAGATGGGTAATTTGGATTTCCTGATGTTTTGAAATATAATACCTTTTCCCCCACAAATTTATATGCTGATCTTTTACAAATAATTTTTACATACAAAGTCTGGGATAAGCCAATGACTTTTTATTGGTGTCTTACTTAAATGAGAGTAATTGATCACTCAATAGTAGAAAAAAACTCCAGTCAAAATCACTACATGAGGTAAGTATGTAAACAATGATTTGATCAGTGAAAGTGTATTCTGTAAAACTCAAAATCTACTTAGAAAAACATAAAAACACATTTCTGTGAGGCAAGCATGTTTTAACAATTTCTTAAATATCATTTGTGATGGGAAATTGTCTGTCTGAATGCACACTTGTACAAGCAGCCAACCTAAGTCTGGAATAAAGCAGAGAAACTAATTTGCTCCTTGGTTCCAAGGTCAGTTTGAATTGGGACAGAGCCCACTATACCTTGGAGAGCTCAGTAATAAGAATCCAGCTTTGGCTTCTCTAACTGACTAGTGAAATAATGAACTCTAGACTCTGACTGATTGTGTGGCCCAAAGAACTGCCAAGGAGTACACAATATCAGTTCCTGTGGCTTTAAAATACTTGTGCATCTTTCTGTGTGGATTTATGGCATAAACTAAAAGGTAAACCTGATCCAAGAAGAAAGAGTTATGGAGAGTCCTATTTCATTTTTATATGCAAAAAGGCATCAAGTCAATAAATACAATAATAAATATGGTTAATTATATACTACTTCCCTCTCTCTTTTCTCACACCTTTCTTCTAAGATATCTTAAAAGCAGCTTGAGGGAAAAAAATTATGTTTGATTTAGAATTTTGTTTTTTAATTAAAAAATATTTCTTGAAAGAACTAGAAGAGAAATAACATTAAGAATTGAAGCTTTGGGACGCCTGGGTGGCTCAGTCGCTTAAGTGTCTGCCTTCGGCTCAGGTCATGATCCCAGGGTCCTGGGATCGAGCCTCATATTGGGCTCCCTGCTCAGTGGGGAGCCTGCTTCTCCCTCTCCCTCTGCCTGCCATTCCCTCTGCTTGTGCTCTCTCTCTATCAAATAAATAAATAAAATAAAATAAAAAGAATTGAAGCTTTGACTTGGTTACGATATGTACATACTACTGTCCCACTGCTGTATCCTATGCTGCTACTTCATAGACCCTCCTACAGAAGGCTATTTGTAGAAAAAAGGACAATTCATCCTTCTTGCTGATTGGCACTTCATGACTACTTATAAGCCACCAAAAACACTGGTGAATAATAGCAACTCTTGACAATTAATACTTTTTCATAAAGAATAAAGTAAAAATCTATGATCACTTGATTCAGTTAGTAGCCAGTCTTCAAGCTGGACTTAACCCCCATCCTGGCATTCTGTCTAACAACTAAAATATATGTCAGTTCTTCTTCCACATTTCAAATTTTTAATAAACATTTAAACTAGTTTTGAAGTGGGGTATTCTTTAAGAGCCCATCAGGAAAGAGGATGAAGCTGTCAGAAATCTTTATAGCAACATAATTACTCTCTTTATAAAGCATGTAACAATGGGTTTGGGTGGAATGTGTCCTCTGCTGTCTACAGTTCAAGCTCCATAGAGACACGACTTATGGCCATCTTTAAGAGAGACAGTGCAGAAGTAAAAAGCCCTGCAAGTGACCTCCTGTCTTTTGATTCCAACAAAATTGAGAGTGAAGGAGTCCCTCATGGAATGATGGAGGAGGACAAGCAACCAGAAATCTATCTGACAGCTTTAGACCTCAAAAAATTGATCAGCAGAGCACTGGAGGAAGACAAATCCTTGGATGTGGAAACAATTCAGTTCGCTGATGGTCAGTTGGTGATTTCATAGTTCTGGTTTTATCCTCATTCCAACAGCAACATTAGTAGGTGCGAATGTCTCATGGTCACTATCATTTCAACTTGGGCCTTATAGAGTCAATCATTTCTGTGACAGGAACATCATGAGTGGTATAATTTCTCTTTCCTCACTCCAACCTGCATGTCATTTGATGAGCTCTTGGTGCTACTTCACATCAAGAATAGGTCTAGGAGAAGCCCAGAGTTTCAGTTCAGTAGTTAGCCACAGTCATCCGGTGGAGTCCAGGTGTAAAGAAGCACCCATGGACAGTTCTGTTCCATTGGCACAACCCAAACAGATTCCCTCACCTAGTAAATTGGTTGAGTCCCAGAAGGAAGCAGATGGCCATTCAAATTGGGATAGCATGAGGAGAGTTTGATAAAGGAACGGTTTATGAAGTTTTACCTAATACACAAAAGAACAGGAAAGTTCCCTAGTGCTTGAGCAGCAAGACCCATTACTGCCTCTAGGCATGAAGGGTTTGCCTAATGATCTAAGCCTTCCCAAGACCAGAGGGCAAAAAGCCATTGATATAGTCCATATAAATCAACCTCCTAGGGCATAGAATAGCAGGGAGAGGAGAGGAGAGTGGATCTAAAAAATTCAACAAGATCATCAGGCACACTCAGGATTCTCAGAGGGTATCTGGAGGGACCCATGAGCCTAGAACTCCTCATTATGCCCAGCACTCTTGGCATAATAGATGAACACTAGAAATGCTATTTTAGTATGACACAGCATGAAACTGGCATTCTCTGTTAGTTCTATTTCTCTGGTTTAGATAGTCAAACTCAACACTGGAAAACATCAAAATGTCCCTTGGGACAACATGCAGGGCAAAGGAATCTCCTAGGCAAGAAAAGGTGAGCTTCAGACTCATCTTAGAGATTATCTGGTACTCTGGTTTGTCTCTGTTCAACCTTCTTGGATATTCTGAGAATCAGGCTTCAAGGTGGAAGTAGGACTCTGCAAATGGTATTTATTCTAGCTATTTCTTTTTGTGAGCTTCATTATATCTTCATCCCCACTGGCCTAGCCAATCAACTTGCCTGCCTGATCCAAATCTATACAATAAAACTAAGCACCCTAAAAATCCTCTTTAATAACTGTTCTTATCACATAAACATATAAGATGTACCCCTTGCATCTGTCCTCCAATATATCATTCACATCAATGACCATTACTTTATGTGATGCTGATTTCTTAATGATTTGCTATTCCAGTCCTTAAAAACTGATTATTGCCACATTTTTCAACCCTGACTGTTTTAGTGCCCAACCACAAAAGAAAAAAAGAAAAAGAAAGAAATACTCAAACCTTGTGATTTTTCACCTGCAGAATTTTTTGGGTCAATGCCAGGCTTCGATCCTGACTTCCACTCAGTGCTGCCTACACTCCTTGCTGATATCACAAAGGTAAGTGAGTTTGTCGTTCTTTTGTTCTTCAAATAGGAACAAAGCCTCAAAAGCTTCCATCAAAAAAAAAAAAAATCAGTTTAAAGACTGAACAGAGCAAAATCTTCTTTGCAATGCTAATTATAATTTTTTTCTGTCTTATAGGCAATACTTTGTTGCCCACTTCCTGTTTCTGTATTAATAAAATATGATACAACTTGCATTTCAAATACCCTAAAATTCAAAGTTTTCTTCAATGTTGTTAGATTTTTGTTTCACTTAGTGTCAGGACTTGCTGTTTTGATAAAACAAACACATGTTCATGAACTGAAAAGAATACTTAAAGCAGAATATATAATTTAATATTGACTTTTGGAAATAGATATAAACATAAGCATATTTATAAGCTTGTTCTTAAGTCTTAAGGTCTTACCTGTATTTATTTATGAGGATTTCATAAGTATAATGTCTTCAAAATAAAATAATAAATTCTGGGATGCCTGGGTGGCTCAGTCAGTTAAGCAGCTGCCTTTGGCCCGGGTCATGATCCCAGGGTCCTAGGATCAAGTCCCACATCGGGCTCCTTGCTCAGCAGGGAGCCTGCTTCTTCCTCTCTCTCCCTCTGCTTGTGCTCTTTCTGTCAAATAAATAAAACCTTTTAAAAAAAAAATAAAATAATAAATTCTCTAATTTTTGTACTTCATTTAAAGCTATGTCCACTTAATTTATGCCAAGAGTTGTCACTGGGGTATTGAAGTGCTGACTAAGCTGTATTCCTTCTTTAAATGAAGGAATTCATAAATTCCAACATGATAGACAATTCAGAGTATGTCAGTTATTAGTTCACCCTACTCTCTCTACTGCTTTGGTTTCAGGCAGACTCAGCTAGCCAAAAAGCCAATTGATCATATTTTGCCACTATATCAATGCATGCTTTCCTTTCATGACAAATTTCTATATCAGAACCTATATCAGAATCCATAGTAGAAAAAAAAAAGAATCCATAGTAGATTCAAGTCAACTACAAAATGATTGCTTAAATTTAAATGAAAGAAAAAATACAGAGCATAGCCCTTCTCACATACAGGGAAAGGTCACTTCTCAACATGTCTTTCTCAATTCATTCTTCAGGATGCTACTTTGAGTCCAGAACTTCCTCTTGGTCAATCCAGGCTTGAGACAGTGGGCAGAACAGGACACAGTATACCTGGTGAGTTTTTTTACCACAAAGTCTATGTTAGCTGACTACATCCTCTATGAGGAATCCCTCTATTACACTACCTCAAAGACTAGTGGTAAAGTCATTCTCAACTCAGGAAAAGGTTTCCTCATATCAGCATTTCCAAAAGAAGAGCAATCCATTGAACCACCCTCTTCTGAAGAGGAGGACACCCTCAGTGTCCTTCCCTCAGCTCTGGGCCCTAGGCTCACAGAGAGCACTGACAACATTTTCCTGATGGATCTGGTGAAAGAAGCTGAAACCAAAGCAGTACCAACTGCTGCCACACACACACAACAACCATCTCTACCAGGCTTCGAAACTCAGAGTCCATCAGGACAAGGTAAGTCATAAGGGACAAGGGACTATGGCAACACAGTATTGGGCCTTTATAGTCAATACACGTATTCTGTTCACCATATACAGGCTGACCATTCATACCATCTGTTCTGCTACATAGGTTTCCTTAGTGTCAATTAGCTCATGTGTAATTGAAAAGTAAGGATGTCAGCAAACATTGAAATCCTCTAGGTTCACTTTTGAATTTCCAAAACTTCATTTTTTAAAAGTTCAACTTTATCACAGTTAAAAAGGAATTTTTAGCAATTTATGAAGACTTTAAGAAAAAAATGAAAATTCAGCAGAGTCTTTTTTTAGTGCAAGAAGGAGCTGATTTAGTGGCTTCAGGAATCCCTATGCTTTCCACTTTATATAGCTCTCTGGTGAAACTATACATAAAAATGTCTTTAAGGAAACATGAACCCCAGGACATAAGGCTAATAAGGATGAACTCTGATTCTAAGTGCAAATGACACAGGAGATTTGTTATAGCTGATTTCTTTTAATTTTTTTAACTCTTTTTAAAATTTATTTTTTTAATTCAAGTATAATTAACATACAGTGTTATATTAGTTTCAAGTGTACAATATAATGATTCAACAATTCTATACATTTCTCAGTGCTCATCAAGATAAATGTACTCTTACTCCCCATTATCTATTTCACCCATCCCCCCCATGCACCTCCCATCTGGTAACCAACAATTTTTCCTCTGTGTTTAAGAGCCTATTTTTTTGTTTGTCTCTCTTTTACTTAGTTCATTTGCTGTTTCTTAAATTCCACATAAGAGCTAAATCATATGGTACTTATCTTTAATATCTGATTTATTTCACTTAGCATTATACATTCTAGGTCTATCTATGTTATTGCAAATGGCAAGATTTCATTCTTTTATGACTGAGTAATATTCCATTGTGTGTATGTATATATATATATATATATATATATATATATATATCATATCTTCTTTATCCCTCTTCATCTGTCAATGGACACTTGAGTTGCTTCCATATCTTGGCTATTGTAAATAATGCTGCAATAAACATGGGGGTACATGTATCTTTTCAAATTAGTGTTTTTCATTTCCTTTGGGTTAATGCCCAGTAGTGGAATTATTGAATCATATGGTAATTCTATTTTTAATTTTTTGAGGAAACTAGTGTTTTCCACAGTGGCTGCACCATTTTGCATACCCACCAACAATTCACAAGGGTTCCTTTTTCTCCACATCTTCTCCAACACTTATTATTTCTTGTGCTTTTTATTTTAGCCATTCTGACAGGTAGTCAGGTGATATCTCACGGTGGTTTTAATTTGCATTTCCCTCATCATTAGTGATGTTGAGCAACTTCTAATGTATCTGTTTGCAATCTGTATGTCTTCTTTGGAAAAATATCTATTCAGTTCCTCTGCCCATTTTTTTAATTGGATTATTTGGTTATTTTGGTGTTGTGTTGTGTAAGTTCTTTATGTATGTTGGATATTAACCCCCTATCGGATATATAATTTGCAAATATCTTCTTCCATTCAGTAGGTTGCCTTTTGTTTTGTTGATGCTTTCCTTCGTTGTGCAAAAGCTTTTTATTTTGGGTATACTCCCAATAGTTTAATTTTGCTTTTGTTTCCGTTGCCAGAGGAAACATCTAGAAAAATATTTCTATAACTGTGGTCAAAGAAATTACTATGTTATGGTTGATGTTTTTAATAGGATTGTTACTGGTTTAGGTAGGGCTCTCTTTACAAAATTCTACAGGTTTTGAGTGGTCTACTTCAGTCCTACTTTCCTCATAAACCCTGTGTGCAATTAGTGTGCAATTTTATGGAATACAAGTTTTTTCTCAAATACATATTGGCACAAAAGCAGAACCACCTATAAAGATTATGTTTGGCTTACATGATTACCAGTGAATAAATTTTAACTGCATGATACAGTTACCTGTTTCTGCACTACAAACCAACCCCAAAGTTTGTGGCTTAAAACAGCAATCATTTATTTCACCCATAAGTCTGAAATTTGGGCAGGGATCAGTGAGGACAGCATTTCTCTACCCCATGTTGTGTCACCTAGAGTATCTCAAGCTAAAAGGTGTTGAACATCTTTTTTCCAATTGGTTTACTCACATGGCTGGGAATTCAATACTCAACCACAGCTGTTGGCAGGTGGAGGTTGGGTGGGGGGGAAGGTTCATTTCTTTTCTATATAGGTCTCTTTAACAGGGATACTTGGGCATCCTTAAAGCATGGCAGCATAGGTTTAAAGAGTCAGTATTGCAAGAGCCAGAAGATGGAAGCTGTCAATCTCTTAACAGCTCAGAAACAGTGTCACTTCCTCACATTCTAATGACTAGACAGCCATATTGCTCATCTCAATTCAGGAAGAGAGAACATAGATCTTATCTCTAGATAGGAGAAGTATCAAAAACTTTTATGGCCATTTATAATCCACTACAATCCACATCAACCACTATTTTGACTTTCAAATTATTTAAAAGTTGGTTGTAGGGGTGCCTGGGTGGCTCACTCGGTTAAGGGTTTGACTTGATTTTGGCTCAAGTCATGATCTCAGGGTCCTGGGATGGAGCCCCACATTGGGCTCCACTCAGGGGCAATCTGCTTGAGGATTTCTCTCCCTCTCTCTCTGCCCATCTCTATGCACTCTCTCTCTCTTTCTTTTTCTCACACTCACTAAAATAAATAAATAAATCTTTAAAAAATTTTTTTAAATAAAAAAAAATAAGTTGGCTGTATAAAGCAAAGCAAACCTTTATGGTAAAGTTGTTGATAGTAAATGTTCATTGGATTCCTTTCTTTCATTATGATATCATAAAACCTTATTAAAGATCAGCATTTCAGGTAGATTAATAAAAATGATACTGTATCTATGATGAGTATGTTATTGTATTTTCAAAATTGCTTTACTGTTCTCATTATATTTATACATTCCTTCCATTCAAGGTTATACTTTAGAACACTAAAGCTGGAAGGAATCTTAGACATAATCTAGTTAAGCTACTGTGCTTCATGGATAAGAAACTCAAGGCTAGAAATGTGAAGTGTCTTACTCAAGGTCACACAGTAGCTGGTTGCAAAGCCATGACCATCTGTCAATTTTCCTCCACCCACTAAGTTATGTTTGGCTTAACTACCCCATCATTAAAAAAAAAAAATTCCCTCAAACTTCCTTTGCCTTCAAACCACAGCTTCTTTTCTATTTTACTACACTGTAGATTTTTTTTTAAGTTTCACCAAGGTTTCACCTCTAACCACACATAACAGGGACACAATTTTCACAAAAATCACAGATGGCTTCCTAATTAATCAATTTAGCAGCCTCATTTCCATCTTTATTTTTATTTTTTTTAATTTTTTTATTGTTATGTTAATCCCCATACATTACATCATTAGTTTTAGATGAAGTGTTCCATGATTCATTGTTTGTGCATAACACCCAGTGCTCCATGAAGAATGTGCCCTCCTCAATACCCATCACCAGGCTAACCCATCCTCCCACCCCCCTCCCCTCTAGAACCCTCAGTTTGTTTTTCAGAGTCCATCGTCTCTCATGGTTCGTCTACCCCTCCAATTTCCCCCCCCTTCATTCTTCCCCTCCTGCTACCTTTTTTTTTTTCTTAATATATATTGCATTATTTGTTTCAGAGGTACAGATCTGAGATTCAACAGTCTTGCACAATTCACAGCGCTTACCAGAGCACATACCCTCCCCAGTGTCTATCACCCAGTCACCCCATCCCTCCCACCCCACCCCCCACTCCAGCAACCCTCAATTTGTTTCCTGAGATTAAGAATTCCTCATATCAATGAGGTCATATGATACATATCTTTCTCTGTTTGACTTATTTCGCTCAGCATAATCCCCTCCAGTTCTATCCACGTCGTTGCAAATGGCAAGATCTCATTCCTTTTGATGGCTGCATAATATTCCATTATATATATATACACCACATCTTCTTTATCCATTCATCTGTCGATAGACATCTTGGCTCTTTCCACACTTTGGCTATTGTGGACATTGCTGCTATAAACATTGGGGTGCACGTACCCTTTCTGATCCCTACTTTTGTATCTTTGGGGTAAATACCCAGTAGTGCAATTACTGGATCATATGGTAGCTCTATTTTCAACTTGTTGAGGAACCTCCATACTGTTTTCCAGAGTGGCTGCACCAGCTTGCATTCCCACCAACAGTGTAGGAGGGTTCCCCTTTCTCCGCATCCCCGCCAACATCTGTCATTTCCTGACTTGTTAATTTTAGCCATTCTGACTGGTGTGAGGTGGTATCTCACTGAGGTTTTGATTTGGATTTCCCTGATGCCAAGCGATGTTGAGAACTTTTTCATGTGTCTGTTGGCCATTTGGATGTCTTCTTTGGAAAAATGTCTGTTCATGTCTTCTGCCCATTTCTTGATTGGATTCTTTGTTCTTTGGGTGTTGAGTTTGATGAGTTCTTTATAGATTTTGGGTACTAGCCCTTTATCTGATATGTCATTTGCAAATATCTTCTCCCATTCTGTCGGTTGTCTTTTGGTTTTGTTGACTGTTTCCTTTGCTTTGCAAAAGCTTTTTATCTTGATGAAGTCCCAATAGTTCATTTTTGCCCTTGCTTCCCTTGCCTTTGGCGATGTTTCTAGGAA